AGTAAATAATAGAGCAACCGCGGATTTTTTTAAACTATATATTAAAGTGTAATCTTTAATTTATTTACTTATTAACAGGCCTTTTAGCGTTACTCAAAGAGAGAGATAAATGACGATATACTTTAATATATAGTTTAAAAAAATCCGCGGTTGCTCTATTATTTACTAATAATTTTAAATTTGAAAAAATACAATTTTCTTATAGCTTTGTATTATACATGTATTATTACTTACTATGTGGATAAAATTAACATGTTTAAAAAAATTAAGCAATTTTAATGCATTTATCTTATTGCTTATACATGTAATATCATTGTAATCACTAATTGACAATTAGTAATTGTTTTACATTTGACGTTTGATTTAATTGATTTGAAAACTTGTAATTCTGGAAACAATTGACATTGGTTTAGATTTACTCATTTTAAAAGCAATAATTATTTTTGAATTAAATAAGTAAACACATTTGAAATAAACAATTTACAAAAATTGACTAATACTGTTGACTAGTGGCGATGTAAATTTTTGCATATTTGTATGACGAATCTTGCATTGTATTAATTTATACAACAAATAAAACAACTACTGTATATAATACAAGATTTGTATATCACCAACACTTTTATTTATCATATATCTGTTTAATTTTATTTGTTTGCTTTCATATTTTCAAAATTAATCAATTATATTAAGAATTTAATCTAAAACTCACCACTTCTTCACTTGAATTTCAAAAAACATTAATTTGTAAGAATCAAGAAATAGCCAGTGATTAGTCTAGTTTACAATTATAAATTATACACATCTCAATTGATTGAGTTAATTTGTGTTGAATAGCATTGAATAGCATTAAATAAATTTATGTTTTATTCCTATTTTATTATATTTTTTAATCACAATTTTTGTAATTATATATTTTCATTAACAAATAATCAGTTATAGTTTTAATTACATTATTCAATTATATTAAGCAATGATTTATGTTTAATGACTACTTCATATAATTTTATGTAGATAACAAATTAATAAATGCTGAATTTAATTAAAAATATAATAATTAAATTAATACACTTTTACGTAATAAAAATAATATAACGTATATGTGTGTGAAAATCTTATATATGTAAGTATATATGATATGACAAGTTTGAGTATTGAATGGATTATATTCTGTGATTAGGATTCTTGTCAAATGTATGTCTTATATATTCTTCAATTGATAACTGATTTACGGTTTTGCGAGAGAAACGTCTGTCAAGAATAAAATGTGGCAAAAAATGTTAACACTTTTTGCAATGTATATATGAATGGAAAGGCATTTTCATTTCATACACTCTTCTATACTTCAAACACACAATCATTATTTGAAAAGATATTCTTGTATTAAAAAATGTTGTTCACCACTGATTGGGCGTTCATTTAAAAGTTCTTCACAAAATACATGGTATACACAGTATATACAGTATATGTATATCGTGTGCGAATTGGAGACCATCTCTCTTATAGAAGAGTAAATATAATACAATATCTACTAATTGGGTCATCCGTTCGGCTCTTGTTATCCTTTTTTTGCCATAAACTGCAATACATTTCTGATAAATTCAAACACTAAACAAGGAATCTATAGTATATATACTGTTATATATTTGTTTGAGAACACAGAATCATATTTACAATGAAAAAATTAAAGTAAATACTGTATAAAAAAGATTTAAGAACTGAACAAAATATCATAACATAACAAAATAACATAAGATTTATAGAGACTTAATCTTTGGGCTCAATGTTCACAATTACTTTATTATATTTAAGTGATTTCTGCTCTTATATTATAGCAAATATAAGTGCATCCAAACAATGAGTGGAAACACTGAAAATAATAATTATTATTTATTCAATACAAAAGCGTTTTAAACATTTATCAGACAGACATTGAATGCAACGACGAGTTTAACAAATCATGTCCTAAACAATAAAATGCTAAACAAAATCAAATCAAATTATAATAATCGTTATGAATAATTCAATTCAATTCAAATGCAGACAAAATATTTAATAAATTGAGAAAATGATTGAGTGGGCGCTCAACCAATCAATGAATACAACGAGTGATCAATTGTGACAAACATTTTATTTGTTAGAATTCTTGATTTGAAAATAGATTACAAGTTTTTTATATTATTTATATTAAAATTAAAAATAACTTTCAAAACACTAACAATTCTTTCAAATATAACTCATTATAGATATACGTTAAATGTATAGACAAATAGAAATATAATTAATAAAATTCTATAATTCAATGTATTTTAATCATAATTAGACGAAACAATGAATGATTGAAAAGGAATTAATTTTGAATTTTCAATACATTTGTAAATCCATTTTGGTTTCACGAAAATCAACGATTCGTTTTGAGAACAGGCCTAACAATACAATCAATAAATATATTGTTAAACAATAAAATCAACATTTTATAAATCATATAAAAGTCAAATACTTGTTCAAAGTCTTCATTCCATTCAAAATTTGTCAAAACATATTTAACGCTTGAATTGATTTCGTTCTCTAATATTCTGTAAATATTATAACAAAATTTTAAAATTTAATTAAAATATAATTATAAATTAAAATAAAATATTAACACAAAATAATTCTGTCATCGGTTCAAAAAATTCAAAATCCAAAATAAGACAAAATTATTTTTCAAAATCAATGTCATTATAACAGTCAATAAATTATTTGATAAATATTAGAAATACAAACCCGTTATGAGTAACGATATGTTGAGTTAATATTTGTTTTTCTTTGTCGTCAAACAGACCGTACAAATGAAAGCGTCTTTCTTTGAATATATCGATAGCAGGCTTCGGATCAATAGTTTTGTCGCTTATATTCTGGGAATCAATTTTAGCGGTGGTGTTGTTGTCAGCGCCGGACTCGTTGTCTGTCTCCATATCATAGATCTCATCATTCATGTCGTGATCACTGTTTGGTTGCAATTCCTTTTCATTATTAACGCTGCCTTTTGGTGCGAAACCAATCACTTCTTGCATTTGAGACTCTTCTTCGTCCTCGTCGTCAATATATTGAATACGTTTTCTATTCTTAGGCATCACTATTGGCGGCTCATCCTCTTCAGCCGATTCCTCCGACTCGACGCCATTATATTTTCCCAGAATATAACTTTCGGCACAAAATTCAACATTAATTTTATACAAAACAAAAATATAAAAAATGCATTACTTTCTCCAATAGACGAGTCGTTTTTGTCGATAAGTGTCTTCAATCCACTTATCGGTAACTATTCTACCGTTTTGTGACATCACTTCGTTGTACTTCGGAGTGTTGGCAAACGCACAGCTATTATCAACAAATAGTCATCAAATCATTATTTTTGTCAAAACAATATCAGTATTGAATCTTTACATTAAATGAGTACAAGATTGGCTCCAATCGGGTCTATATTTAGCACCCATTTGAATGGCTTTATCTCGTAAATCACCCCGTTTTGGATTAACAAAACCACTCAAAGCGAACACCACTTTTGACATCAATTTGTCAAACGGAACATTGGTTTTGGGTTTCCATTGCCTTTTGGGCGGAGGAACAGCCTTTGGTGATGAAGAAGATGGTGTGTTATTGGATGAATGTGATGGTAACCCTTGTTTGGGAACCGTTGGCGGTGTCTTTGGTTTAGGTGTTACGGAGTTTTGAGGCTTTGGTTGTTTGGGAGTTGCGCTAAGTTTGGCCGTCAGTGGCAAAGGCTTCGGCGGATCGGCGTTTGATTGATTGCCTCTATTTCTAAATAAACTTCCGGTGTTTACGTCTGACTCCGGGTCGTCATTGGCAGCGGATCTCAATCTAAAGGGTCCGATGTTTAGGGCCGACGAACCGGGAG